CATGTACCATCGACCCTCACCCGTCACCCCTAAACCCTAAACCCTTAACCCTAAACCCTAAACCCTAAACCACCAAGTTGCTTGCTCTTGTCCGCACAACGCCAGACCCTCTTTTCTCGTTGAACCAGCGTAGGCTCAAGGCCTTGGGCTAGGGTTTAGGGTTTAGGGTTTAGGGTTTAGGGTCTAGGGTTTGAGCGCTGTAGCCGCAACTGGGGGACGTACAGCGAGAGCTGGCGGCTTTGTGGAAGCAGCTAAACCCTGACGAGAAGGAAGTAAGTGCAGCACTTACTCAAACCCTAAACCCTAAACCCTAAACCCTCGACCCCAAGCTTCAAACCCTAAACCCTAAACCCTCGGCCTCAGGCTGCTGTGGCCTGGCGGTTTGCAGCGGTGGACTGCAGAACTCGAATCCCTCAAGGAGGAAAGGCGCCAGTGGCAGCAGCAGCAGCAGCAACAGCAGCAGCAGCAGCAGCAGCAGCAGCAGCAGCACGAGGATCATGACTCGGAAACGCTGCGGTGCGTCGGAAAGCTGCTGCTCATAAGCTCCAAACCCTAAACCCTAAACCCTAAACCCTAAACCCTAAGCTTGAAGGCGCAGCCCGAGGTCCCAAACCCTAAGCCCCAAACCCTAAACCCCAAACCCTAAACCCTAAACCCTAAACCCTAAACCCTAGACTCTTCATTTCTTGCTTCAGCTCTGCGGCCCCAATAGAATTCCCTCAGGCGCGGATAACGCGGATAGCGAGACTAACCCCAGCAGTCAAGAAAGTAAACCCTAAACCCTAAACCCTAAACCCTAAACCCTGAACCCTATACCCTAAAAGAGGGGAAGCGACGAGCTTTAGGTGACTGCCGAGATGGGGCTTTTGCCTTGCTGCTTATGGATTGGCTAGGGTTTAGGGTTTAGGGTTTAGGGTTTAGGGTTTGCGTCGCAATTCTGCTGCAGCTGTCGGCAGAAGGCGCCCGCTGCCTGAACTATGCAACGGTAAGGGCTTAGGGTTTAGGGTTTAGGGTTTAGGGTTTAGGGTTTAGGGTTTAGGGTTTAGGGCCTAGGGTTTAGAGATTTAATGGGCGCATAATACTTCCTGTGTTCAGGCAAGTGCAGCCAGCAGTTCTGTGGCAAAGAACTTGGGGTTTTGTGGTTAGGGTTTAGGGTTTAGGATTTTAGGGTTTAGATTTAGGGTTTAGGGTTTAGGGTTTGTGGTTAACTCAGGCTGCTGCCCTCAGGCAGTTTACTGCTCAGAGTCTCTCGGGGCGAGAAAATGAAAAGTGCCTAACTGTAGAGGATGTTTGTGAGTCTTAAGGGTTTAGGGTTTAGGGTTTAGGGTTTAGGCTTTCGTTTGCGTTTGCAGAAGTCGACAAACCATCGAGGGTTTCTTCTTTTGCCCCCGCAGCTGTTAAAACAAACAGAAGAGGAAAAGGAAGGCCAATGAGGACTGCAGACATTGCCTCTTTCTTCAAAAGAGACTAACTGGGGTTTAGGGTTTAGGGTTTAGGGTTTAGGGTTTAAGATTGGGGAACTCGTTTTAGGGCCTCGTATACACTGTGGTTTTTTAAGTCCATTTTGTACAAATCAGAACTTGAGGCACTGCTTATAGTGTTTAGGGTTTAGGGTTTAGGGTTTAGGGTTTGGGGTTTAGGGTTTAGAGTTTAGTCGCAGCGAAGTGCAGCACTTCAACTGCAGCCAAACCCTAAACCCTAAACCCTAAACCCTAGAGCGTGGACTTGCATCTTTTTATTTCTAAATGTATTTATTTAAATTCATTTATGTCTAATTATAAATGGAAGCAAATCGAAAAACTCCGAAGCAATACTTCTTTTGAACTGCTGCAAACTCTTAGCGGTTTGAAGATCTGTTTTTTCATCCGCCGAATTATTTTTTTCTTTTTCAATTTTCTTCATTTTATATTTAAAAAATGCAGAATTTATAAATTAAAACTTCCAGAATTCATTTTACTTCACAAGAGAAGCAACAGAGAAGCAGAATCAGAAAAAAACAGGAAACGGATGCCGCCGCTTGAAACCTGCGATCTGCAGCAGCAGCAGCAGCAGCAGCAGCAGCAGCAGCAGCAGCAGCAAGAGCAAAGAAAATGCAAGAAAATGCAAAGAAGTAAGCGGGAACAGAAGAAGAAAAGAAATGGATTTTCGCTGCTGAAGAGAACTGGGGCGCAGCCTGGGGAGGTGCGTATACACCTGAAAACTTGAACTGTGGAGTTCGAAAAGGCGAAGTGGTTTTTTAAAAGTTTTTTGAGGAGAAAAGAATTCAAAAGTAAAAAAGAATTAAAAAGAGAAAACGAAGTCGAAAGAAAACGCGGAAATGTGGAAAAGTCCTTCAGTAATTCTTTTTTCCTTTTTTTCGCCTTCAACTTCCCTCCGCCGATCTTCCGGGGTGGGTTCCGAACTTGAACTCGAACTTGAACTTGAACTTGAACTTGAACTTGATTCTCATTTACTTTTATTTCATTTTATTTTCCTTTTACTTTTCTTTTTTCTCCGCTTTCCCCAGCTTTCCGAAAGGTTCCTGAGTCCGCAGCGGCAAGGCAACGAGAACTTCCCCGCGGGGTCTGTGGCGCCGCCGGCGGGCCAGAACTTGGGGCTGAGCTACGCGCCTTGGTGAGGAAACTTGGAGGAAAAGTGGCATTTTTGGAAACAAAAAGCAAAATAAAAGAAACATTTCTTTTTATTTCCGTTTTGTTTCTCCTTTTGGACGCCATTTTGCGCTCCAAGGCGAGGAAACGACCCCGACGACCTCGACTTCCCCGCCGTGAACGTAAATTCCAAAACTTGGAAAAAAAAAAAAAAAAAATCGTTTTCAGATTCATTTCGACTTCGAGCCAAAAGACTGGCTGAGGAGAACAGCAGAAGTTGAAGGCAAGTTTCATTTAATTGTTTGAATTCATTTATTGTTTGAATTTATTTAATTGTTTACATTGGTTTAGTTGGTTAAATCTATTCAATTATCTAAATTAACTTAATTCATTTGAATTTATTTGTTTGAATTTATTTGAATTTATTTGAATTTATTTGAATTCGTCAACTTGAATTAATTTGAATTGTTTAATTTGAATTGATTTGATGGATTCGAATTAATTTGAATTGACTGATTTGAATTAATTCGAACTAATTCATGTGAACTGGTTTGAATTTATTTGAATTAATTAATTTGGATTAATTAATTTGAATTAATTAATTTGAATTAATTAATTTGAATCAATTTGAATTGGCGAATTTCAACCGTTTACTTTGCATTAATCAAATTGAATTAATTAAAACGAATCAATTTGAATTAATTTGAATAAATTTGAATTGATTAGTTCAAAAAAATTAGTTTGAATTGATTTGAATGAATTTAAATTGATTAATTTGAGTTAATTAATTTGAATTAATTTGAATCAATTAATTAGTTTAAGTTAATCAGTTTAAATTAATTAATTTGAATTAATTAATTTAAATCAATTTGAATTAATTAATTTAAACCAATTTGACTTAATTTGAATTAATGAATTTGAAATAATTGAATTTCTTTTTTTGAACTTGTACACTGCAGCAGCAGCAGCAGCGCGGAGAGAAGCAGCAAAGACCGCAGTGAACCTGGTAAGGCCGCATGCAGCAGCAGCAGCAGCAGCAGCAGCAGCAAATGTGGAATGGCAGCAGAAGCAAAACAGAGTAATTGAAGAAATAAAAAAATAAAAAACTTTCCAACATTTGTTTCAAAGCTGCAAGTCCGCAACGCCCTCATTCAACAAGACTCCGACCTCGAAGGTAATTCATTTATTGATTTATTGTTATTTATTTATTTATTTATTTATTTATTTATTTATTTATTTATTTATTTATTTAATTCTATTTATCGTTTAATTCTATTTATTTATTTACTTAATTCTATTTATTTTTTTTTTTTATTTTTGAATTTCAAAATTCGAAAATGCAGATATGAAGGAAGTGCTCTACCGCCAGCTCATGCAGGCGCGTCATTCTGGATTCATTTCATTCACAATTATTTACTTATTTCTTTTATTTATTTATTCATTTATTTATTTATATTTAATTAATTAATTAATTAATTTATTTATTTATTTATTCATTTATTCATTTATTTATTTTGTTTTGTTTTGGGCTTTTTGTTTCTCCGGAAATTGCCAAAATCTGCCGACGCCCTCATGCAGGCCAGAGGAAGAGCCACTGGTACCAAATCCTAAACCCTAAACCCTAAACCCTAACCCCTAACCCCAACTCCCCAAACCCCAAACCCTAAACGCCAAACCCTAAACGCTAAACCCTAAACCCTAATTTGTGGTTTTCAGGGCAGCGGAGTCTCTCTGCGGGTGTTCCTGAGGCGCTGAAGACGGGCTCGGGTGGGTTTTGAGGAGTTTGGAGGAGAAAATGGAAAAAAATGAATAAAAATGAAACAAAAATGCAAATGAAGTTAATTAAAATAAAATTAAATCCATTTGTTTGCTTTTTAGGACTCGAAAGTCCCGAAATGGAAGAAATTCAAAAAAATCTGCAAAGGGCGGCGCCGCCGGTGCAGCAAAGCGACAGCGGATACACCGGAGCCCTCTCGACTTTCTCTGCTGCGAATCTGAATTTGTGAGAAACTGATTTGAAATATGAATTCGTTTATTTATTTCATTTATTTATTCATTTATTTATGCATTTATTTATTTTTACTTGTTTCATTTTTCGTTTCTTTCTTTTATTCCAAATCCGAAAAATTCAACTCATCGTCCACACCACCTCCGCAGACACCTGGCGGACGAACACGTGCGTGCCAGTCGCGAAGCAAAAAGTTTAATTTAATTAATTTGATTAATTTAATTAATTTAATTAATTTAATCAGATTTAATTAATTTCATTTAATTCATTTAATTCATTTAATTTGAGTGGTTCCGCTCGATCAAACAAATTCAAGAAATTCATTTTTGCTGCTTTTCGGCGCTGCTGCAGGCGGAGTTGGGAGCAAATCCAACAGCAGCAGAAGAGAAATAAAATAAATAATAAATAAATAAATAAATAAATAAATAAATACATAAATAAATGAATAAATAAATAAATAAATTGTTTTAAATAATTCAAATGTTCTTTCCAGCTGCTTGATCACTTCAAACGGCTTTTGTCTTCAACTTGCAACTGCAGCCTCATGTGGTTTGCCCTTTTCCCCTTGAGCTAGGGTTTAGGGTTTAGGCTTTAGGGTTAGGGTTTAGGGTTTAGGGTTTAGGGTTTTCAGTGATTGAAGCAGCCACGACGCAGTGCAGCAGCAGCAGCAGCAGCAGCAGCTGCAGCAACAAGAGAACCAGCAACTGCAGCTGCAGCAGCAGCAGCAGCCATGGAAACCGCAGCAACGGCAGCAGCAGCAGCAGCAGCAGCAGTAGCCAGCGTGTGCAGCAGCGCGTGTGCAGCAGCAGCAGTCGCACGGGAAGCAGCAGCCCCATCAGCCGCAGCAAACGTAGAGGCAGAAACTGCAGCAGCAGCACCAGCAGCAGCCCGACAAAGAGCAGCAGCAGCAGCAGCAGCAGCAGCAGCAGCATCGATGATGGACCGGTGGTTCCCACGGCGCGGCGGCTGGGAAGGCGGCGGCGAGTCGAATAAGAAGGTGAAGGCGGAATTGACTAAAAGTTTGAAATAAAGATTTAATTATTTGAATTTAAATTTAAAATTAAATTCAAATTTAAATTCAAATTTCGTTTATTTCGTTTTCGGAAAGCCCTGCAGCAGTCGGCGGCGCGGCGGCGTCGGCGGCAGCCGGAGGCGCTGGCGGGGTGTCTGCGCAGGTCCGTCGGGAAAGTGGGAAGAACTGGAATTAAAGTTTTCAGAAAATGAAAATAAATAAAAAAGCAACTTGGAAATACATTTAAAAGAACATTTCGAGCTTTGGTTGCGGCGCAGCAGCAAATTTGCAGCTTTGTGCTGCAGCAGCAGCTGCTGCTGCTGCTGCTAGCCAGCTGCAGCGCCGCAGTGGGGGCGGCTGCCGCGAGCCGCCCGATCTTTCTTTTCCGTTTTGAAAGAAGAATTAAAGAAGTGAGAGTTGAAGATGTTTTAAAAATGCCAAATGGTGGTGGGCGAGCTGTCTATACACCCCAGTTTCCCGCTGCACGGCTGCAGTCCTTGCTGCTGCCGCTGCTGCTGCAGCTGCGGCCGGCTGCTGCGCGCAGCACTCTGAGCCCACACCTCCCTTGTTCGCCAGTTTCTTGTCAATTTTTGGGTTGCATTTACTTTTTGCTGCTCGAGTTTAGGAGTTGGTGCCTGTGTTTGCTGCGGAGAGCCCAGCAGCAGCAGCAGCAGCAGCAGCTCGCGTTACGGACGCACGCAGCAGGCAGCAGCCCGCCTGCTGCTGCGCCGTGCTGAAATCTGTCTTTGTGTTTTCCTCCTTTTCTCTTTTTTAATTTTATTTGTCTTTGTTTTTATTTTAAAGTCCAATTTCCTCGTTCTGGCCTCCGAAGCAGTTCAGTGTCGGCCGTGCTGCTGCTGCTGCTGCCGCTGCTGCTGCTGCTGCTGCTGCGCTTTCGCGTGGCCTTCCCGCTGTCTTTCTCTGGAGTTTTGTCTTCTTTTTGGTTTTCTTTTCAACAGGTTTCGAGGTGATGAACCTAACCAGCTCGGTTCACCCTGCTGCTGCAGCAGCAGCAGCAGCAGCAGCAGCAGCTGTGGGAGTGCTGCCCGGCGGCCCCGGCTCTCCCCCGCCCTACTTCCTGCGCAGCAACAGCAGCCCCGAGCCCTACGCGCGGGGGGCGAGCAGCAGCAGCATCAGCAACATTGGCGCGGCGCTCAGCAGCAGCAGCAGCAGCAGCAGCAGCAG